GCCCAGGCAAAAAATAGGTCACATGTTTTGGTAACTTCGAAACAGTAGTGTTTTTGACAGCCATCTAGAATAAGTCTTAGTCTTCAGGACGAAAAGTATTATTAGTCTAGTCAGTTTTAGTCGACTGAAGGTTTCAGTCTAGTTTTAGTCAGTTTTATGTAGCAAAAAAAACCCTTTACAATTTCAAATACAGTAACAACCAGATTCTTTACCAGACTGACCTGGCCTTGCCTAGTTACTACAACTGCTGGTCACAGAATGATGCCATGCAATAAATAAAAACTGCTGTTGGGCAGAAAACTTGACTTATAGAATTCAAATAAACTTTTTCATAAATTAATGACCAACTTTATAAAAAAGTGTCTCACACTTTCAACTTTTTGTTCAACTAGTTTTATTGGTTGTTTTACATACCTACAGTGGCCAGTTACTGGTTTGCTTATAAGAAAATAATGGCTCATTTTACCTACAATTTTAAAACATACAACATTTCTGTACTTATTTCAAGTGGTAGTTATTGCCTGGTTGTAAGGCCAAAGGGTTTACAAATAAGGTAAGGCAGAGGATTGTAATTATTTGGTATCAATTCCCAATTGCTGCCCCAACTTCTAGTCTTAAAATCCCACATATGACAAAATGTTATGGTCTAATTAGTCAAACGTTGCAGAATTACCAATTACTGACCTTAAAAGCTAAGAAAAACAAGCTAACAGTTCATTTCAGGCAATGGCCCAACTACCGGCCAATCTGACTTTGCCAATCTGGACACATTTTAGTTTACAAAGTTTACATTATGCTGTACAACCTTTGTAAAATTTGTTTAGGGGGGTTACTTTGCTTAGTTTTAGGGTAAAACCATTTAAAAACCTATAAGACCTTTATTTTAGTTTAAACACAGTTTACAGAGCCAGCATATGTCACCTAGCCAACTGCTAGCCTTAGAAATTTGGTTGAACAAAATATTTCTTTCATACAGTATACAGTATTGCTCTTTCTCCTTGGTTGGTTTTGAGGTCCGGCTGCTGATCTAGCAAGCATCAGAAACCAAGAAAAACAAAATATAAGGTCTCCTTTCAGTTTAGCTGATTTTCATAGTTGGAAGATGTACCAACACTGTTACTGGCCACCTAGTGACTGAACTTCCAGAGCACAAAACCTGAGTTTAGTTTTAAATCTTTTGACTAATCTTTAGACAGCCTAAATTTGTAATTTTAGTTCAGTTAGCTGTGAATGGCTGTTTAAGGCACAGCTGCCGAATAATCCAGACAAAAACCTGTACAGTGTATGACTTCTTTAATGATTGCCTTTAAATAATCGTATGCTTTGATTGCTCTGGTGAAATTACAATTGGATCGTCCAGGAATTGCTTTAGACGCACCAGAACTTTTTCTTCTCTCCTGACACTGTCAGTATCCTTTTAGTTACAGCAATTTAAATGCTATTAACCATATAACTGTATACAGAGTTGATTTATCTGAATAAAAAGATTAGTGGAAGTTATTTGGGGTGTAATGTAAACCTTTGCCTCTTGCAGTTCAATGTGGAACGGATTTAATGCTCTATTTGTAGTTTCTCCCATGGGCTATTTTACAGTTGGATGAATAGGTAAAGGCATGATTGCCATGTAGTATATTATGTAGGTGCACAAATTAAACACAGACACCATCTGTGTGCTGAGCATCTCTACTAAATTCATACAATTGAAAAAGAGGTGAAACTTGTTCTGTATTGTCTGCATTGGCCCTAATCCACACATCCTAACCCTCCTGCTTTTTGCTGGTGCTTCTGCTGCTGCCCTCCGACCCAAATGATGAGAGATTAAGCTCTGCGCAACTGTCCATCTGACACAAGGGCTGGATTTGCACTGGATTGGGAAAAAAATCTGGACGGGCGGCTTCTAAAGCTCTGTAATTCTGAACAAACATGCTCTCAGAGGAAAGCAGATTAAAAAGCAGGAGCAGTGAGTAAGTGTGCAGGTTTTGGGGCGTTTGGTTGCGCCATAAAGTTCTGGTCCAGTTTCTCTGAGCTGTTTTTGTGTCACTTGCCATTACCAATAACAAGGGCGATGGCTTTGTGGATTCGGAATGCCCCCCCAGGCTAAAGTTCTGATTCAGACTGCCCCATCATCCCCAGACATGCCCCTGCAATGCCCATGTGCCTCACCGGGCATGTCCCCATTTTTTTTTTTATGCATCTAACGGAAATGGAAAGGGTGGGGGTGGGCATAAAGGACGATGGGTGATGGTCACCCAAACTACCCCTCTGTCATCATGCAGTCTATTTACAAAACATCAGTGCAAAGGGTCGCAACAGAAACCTCGCTCGACGACGATACGAGTCGGTTTCATCGTATAAATTCAAGAGGCGTCACATGTAGATTGGGTCGCTCACGTGACTCCGGTTTGATGGGCCAATAGCGTGGCAGAGTTNTTTTTTTTTTTTTTTACAGTAATTAACTGTAGAATCATTTACAGCAATATACTGTATTTATATATTACAGCAAGATACTGTAAATAATACAGTAGTTTACTGGCGAAGCTGCTGCCAGTAAATTACTGTAAATTCACAGTGAAAAGTCTTACAGTGTACATGTGAGAAAAACTTTAGTTCAGACGTTTTAGACATCATTAATTGCTGTTGGTTTTAAGGTCTAATTACTGGCATTCAAACCTTGATGGTTATGTTGGATTCACTAAGCAAAGTCTATCTCTTTCAGCTGGGCATACACTATACGATATTTCAATCCTTGTACTCGGCTACAGCTCAAACTCTAAGATGGTTTAAAAATTCACAGTATGTATGTTCCTACTCTGAACGGCCAGATGCTCTGATGCTATCTAACTGCTCATACTGTACGTCCAAAACCCACATGTCGGACTCGCAGCCGAGAGATGGCGCTGGTCGGACTCATCAATCTGATAGAAGAAGAAGAACTGCCTAATTTGCACATGCGCAGTGCATGAGGTTCTGGTAAATCAGCTCTTAGACACTCGTAGCTATGCTTCAACAGCAGTATTTGCCCACAAACGCCTCACGAGGGCTGACTGAATTTCCAACATGTTTGATTTTCTCTCGACCTTCATATTTCTGATCGGGAGGTGGTCATGAAAGGCTAATCGGCCCTCGTTATTCCCTGTAAACTACACGACGCAGGGCGCACTATGAGGCCTGATCCATAAAAAAAGTTTTGCACAGCTGCCGAATAATCCAGACAAAAACCTGTACAGTGTATGACTTCTTTAATGATTGCCTTTAAATAATCGTATGCTTTGATTGCTCTGGTGAAATTACAATTGGATCGTCCAGGAATTGCTTTAGACGCACCAGAACTTTTTCTTCTCTCCTGACACTGTCAGTATCCTTTTAGTTACAGCAATTTAAATGCTATTAACCATATAACTGTATACAGAGTTGATTTATCTGAATAAAAAGATTAGTGGAAGTTATTTGGGGTGTAATGTAAACCTTTGCCTCTTGCAGTTCAATGTGGAACGGATTTAATGCTCTATTTGTAGTTTCTCCCATGGGCTATTTTACAGTTGGATGAATAGGTAAAGGCATGATTGCCATGTAGTATATTATGTAGGTGCACAAATTAAACACAGACACCATCTGTGTGCTGAGCATCTCTACTAAATTCATACAATTGAAAAAGAGGTGAAACTTGTTCTGTATTGTCTGCATTGGCCCTAATCCACACATCCTAACCCTCCTGCTTTTTGCTGGTGCTTCTGCTGCTGCCCTCCGACCCAAATGATGAGAGATTAAGCTCTGCGCAACTGTCCATCTGACACAAGGGCTGGATTTGCACTGGATTGGGAAAAAAATCTGGACGGGCGGCTTCTAAAGCTCTGTAATTCTGAACAAACATGCTCTCAGAGGAAAGCAGATTAAAAAGCAGGAGCAGTGAGTAAGTGTGCAGGTTTTGGGGCGTTTGGTTGCGCCATAAAGTTCTGGTCCAGTTTCTCTGAGCTGTTTTTGTGTCACTTGCCATTACCAATAACAAGGGCGATGGCTTTGTGGATTCGGAATGCCCCCCCAGGCTAAAGTTCTGATTCAGACTGCCCCATCATCCCCAGACATGCCCCTGCAATGCCCATGTGCCTCACCGGGCATGTCCCCATTTTTTTTTTTATGCATCTAACGGAAATGGAAAGGGTGGGGGTGGGCATAAAGGACGGTGGGTGATGGTCACCCAAACTACCCCTCTGTCATCATGCAGTCTATTTACAAAACATCAGTGCAAAGGGTCGCAACAGAAACCTCGCTCGACGATACGAGTTGGTTTCATCGTATAAATTCAAGAGGCGTCACATGTAGATTGGGTCGCTCACGTGACTCCGGTTTGATGGGCCAATAGCGTGGCAGAGTTCTTTATTTTTTTTTCTGATCAGAGCTAAAGGAAAAGAGGTGGGTGGGAGGAGGAGGGAGAAATCATTTTCCCTTTGCGATTTTTTAATCCTCCAACGGCGAAAGTGGTCGTCAGCTACTGTATCCTGCCCTGCAAAAAGGTAAAGTCTACTTTGTCGTTCTAATTACGGCTTCTGGTTATTTTTCCATAAGAGGCGACGCTTTATTCTGCAAAACCCACACCTTAATGCATTTCAAATTTAAATTTCTTAGATATTTTTAGAGTCCTTTCTTGGTTGATGGTGTCACAGGAGTTCAAACTCTCGAAAAACTGGAATTTCAAAGTTCCTTTTCAAGTTGTGGAATGCCATCAATGATTAATCAACTTGGTAGTCAACGCAACGGGACCGACTTTGTTTTTAAAAAATGTATCATTTTAAATGCTTTCTTTGGCAAAACCCCAACAGGATGACTTCATGCTGGGTGGGAATCTTGTGGTTTTCGTACAAAGAACAGCCAGTTTTCCAGCCAGCTGATTTTGCTCCCCGACGTCCACTGATTATTGATGTTGAACTGATTGTCTTTGTTTTCAGGCATAAGCAATTTCATTGTTTGGGAATTAGCCGCATCAACTGTTGACACAATAGAAGAGGTCGTTATTATGATTATCTTCATGCGGATATAAGCATGGCAGCTGTTGGGTGGTCATACAAAAGAAAAATGTCCTTCCTCATTTCGCTTGACCCTTACTGTATTTTAATTGTAGATTTATCTGGATAATAAGCTAAGATGTAATCATGTGGTGACGAAGCTGAAATGCGCAAAAAAGAAGGATCAAAGGGAAGAAAATAGGAACGTTTTCAACTCGTTCCGCATCAGCGCCGGGGGGAAGCTCGGCGTATGGAAGCCATGACTTTGTGACAACCAGTGATCTCACATTACAAACTGTGGCAAATCTAAAATGGCCGACTTAACGCTCCTTTTTGGGCACAACATGGTGTGCCTCTGTTCTCTCTGGTTTTTCCTCTCCGTGCTGGAGGTCTATGAGGTAGCTTTGAAGATTGTTGGCCATCACCATTTGTCGGCTGCGTCCTTCGGTTTGACTCCTTGAGATAGCTGCAGCTTTGATTGTGATTAAGGTTGAGACGTCAGGACGCTGGGCTCCTGATTTAGACTGACAGCTCTTGAGAGGACTGTCATAGCGGTGCATTGGAAGGCCGACTGGGCGTACAACCCCCCACCCCCCTCCAAGCCCCCCCGCTTCGCCACATAAAACAAAAGCCAGACGAGACCAGAGCTGCTCATATACCAGGGAACGGAGCTGGAATTGCTCAACTCCCCAGTTCTACTTGATAAGACGTCCTATGTGTTGCAAAAAAACACATATTCAACACTTTCACCTCCGAAAATTTCAACTTTGACAGTTTTTTCTCACATTTTTCCCACAGTGAGGCACTCCTTTGATACAGAACATATGCCTGAAACTGATCACCCTTTGCGGTCCCCCTCAGCTGCCCTACATGTTTCTTAATTTCCCTTTTGTTCACCGCTAATTGGAGCAAAAACACGTCCCAGATTTGTCTAAATGATGATGGACATAAATTTGTAGCATGTATTTTTTTTTTTGGGGGGGGGGGGGCATGTTTGAATAATGTGCAGAGCAGTGAGGATATTCATATTTTAACCCTTTACATCTTCTATTGGCACATCTTAAAGGTGAAAACATCTAACGTACATAGACATTTTTTCTTCCTCAACAATAATAAACATTGCTGTTGTTTCCTGTTTCCTATTGAACCTATATGACTTTCTAAATGTGTGGTTAGGGGTCAGCTAATTTGGCCCGGATTACACCCATTTATTGTATTCCCTTACAAGAATTTTTATCTGTTTCCCTCCCATCTTGCATCCTTAGGTACAGACAACTCATTATTTCTATTAACACTACATTTCCCACTAAATTAAATGAAAAAATGTGCCTTAACATAAACAAAATTTGAAATTTCTCTTGTTTTGATAGCCTTTTATAAAAAAAAAAAAAAGAAATCAAGACTGGCTTTAATGGGAAGAATGTCAGCTCTTAATGCAATAATCGACATAATAAGCAGTAGTGGGTATTTCTCAGAGTGATAGAATAATGAATTTGCATGCAAAAGATGCAAAAAGATCATACAATCTTGAAAATTAACAAAGTTTTGTATTTTATTTAAGCTGGTTTAGATATCTGAAACTGGTAAGTTTAGTTTAAGAACCCACACTCTACTTAAAAAGTTCTCAATCCATTTAGGATCCACAAAAAAATCCCTTCTCTCAAGCATTTTCAGCAACTTTCCATCATTCACACACTGATGATTCTGCATACAGTCTGAGCATCTCCTCATTGTTGACAGCAACTAAAGAGGAAGGAGGTCAAGGGATCACCAATTCGGGTTCTTCAAGAGCGAGGCTCAAGTCTTTTCTATGGTTGAGGCGAAGGAGGACAGAGGATGAGGAGGAGGAGGAGGGAGCCATTTTGTGCACTGCGTTGCCCAGCCGAGCGTAAAGCGTGATTAATTCAATAGCCGCCATAGAAGAGGAGGAGGAGGAGGCTAGCAGCGCCGAGCGTGACCCACTTTTACTATCAGATGTCAGGAAAAATTCCCCGCCATATCCCTCTTTTTGCTTTCACTTTTAACGACTTCCTGCCAGAGGAGAGGCAAAAAAAAACAACAACCCCCCACCCAGCTCAAATCAAGTTTCAATGTTATTTAGCTTGGACGCAGCACATAAAAAGGTAACAGGCTGGAAGGTTTTTGGCGCCACTGAATTACAGACCCTTGACCTCATTCTACAGAATGGAACTATTGAACTATAGCTTGTTTAGCATCTTTCTTTTTAACTAAATAAAGAGTCTGAGTCTTAACCGGAAGAAAAAATGCCCTATTAGTTTGGTTTTTCTTGCTAGTTCTTTTTTCACTTCGTTTCTTAAGAATGAAATCTGGAGCTCATAAGTATTTTTGTCTCCAAGATGGAACCATTGATTTAATCCCTGCCTTTTACATTTTTTTTTTTACTTTTCGCTCCCTCCCTCCTGCCTGCCCCTGGTGAGGACCTGCACCGCTGGCTTGGGTCTTAAACCCGGATTAAGGCCTTTTACGTAATCTGGTCTTCTCTGGGAAATTGGAGGGACAGCTGGCGACAGAATCTCCACCGCTCATCTATCGAACCTCTGCTGGCCTCCAAAACCAGCATCTAGCACAGATTAGGATGAATTTATAGCAGGAACCTTGCAAAAATATTTCCATTATAATACATGTCCAGGATTACAGGGAATCTATAAGCACTGTATGTTGTGAAAGGATCTAAAGGGATGCTGGTTAGATCATAGTTAGGCTAATATAAAAAGAAACGCTTTTCTGGATTTGTAATCATTAAAACACTCTCCCACCCTTGTCATTTGCAAAAAATAATTTGGATATTCAGGTTTTAACTGAAGCCCAACACCAGAACACATGTTTCAACATGATAGTAATGACTCCTTTAAAGAGTGACTGTGGAAAAAAATCTAGAAATAAGTCATGCTTTTTTGTAATTATGTGTTTAATCTACAGCAGATGGGTTATGGATGTTTATAAAAATGGTAAAAGGTAGTTTAAACATATATAATTTTCACAACATATAAAAAGGGTCCACATTAAAGTATATCTAAATGTAGTGCAATAGCAATACGTCAAAAAAAAATGCTTTATTCAAAACCAAGAAACAGCTTTGTAAGGTAAAGTCTATGACGTCTAAATATGGCATGAAAAGTGATGAGTTATTATGTAAACGGTAAAAGGGATTTAGAAAAAGTAATCTAAAAATGTCTACATGTTGTTGGAAAAAAAACAAAAAGAAACGTAACTTTAGGCAATACCTCCACACAAAGACAATATATGTGTACAGTAGCTAATTGGTGCAAATGGCGCGTAAATAGATGATTTCACAGTGAATTAAAAAGGTCCAGCGAATTCAAAAATTTGATTAACAAATGAAAAACAAGACTTGCATAAACATGTAAAGAAATAAAATGCTGTGAATAAAAAGGCTGGGATCACAGAAAACAGAGAGCGGCAAAATGGAAACATGCTGTAACACAAAAACGCCCTGCAAATACATAAATAACACTAAAACACAGAATAAATGCAAGTAAAAAAAACTGTAATTGAAAACTGAAATACAACTTCATAAAAGCTTGGAAGAGCTCAAAAACACTACGGGGGGACAGTCATCATGACGGACCAGACTCCCATAAAAGCAAAAAACTGATTCTAAGAAAAAAATAAATCCATAAACAAGATTAAAAGAAAAACATTGTTTGTTTTTTTTTACTTTCTCCAGATGCCTTCAAGATAATATCCCATTTATGCTTTCGCTAAGCATCTCCTTCATAATCATCAATTTATTGTAATGTCTATATTCTGTTCCCATATGAGTTACCGACTGTCTATCCACAGTGGTCTGGCGCTCCTCTATTTTTAAGAACTAGTTCGAGAATTTTCTTGGTTTGTAGTTGTATTTGCTGCTTGCATCATTTTTTCTTTTGCATGTGTTTTGTGTTTGCCCCAGTTTTGTGTTAGCTAGTGTAACCTTTGTTTTAGCTAGTCGCTTTTATATTAGCGTGTCT